ATACCCTGGGTTTTATTGGGTCGGGTTGCCTCCTTCGTCGAATGTATTCAGGAAATCAAATGCCTTCCCGGCGTCGTCTGCGGAGTAAATATCAAATACAGTTCCAAAAGAACTGAGTACGCAAGCCTATGCATATATGCGGTACACGTAACTCGATGTGTTGACTATTCGTCGACACCTCACTTCGTGGTCAGGGAATCTTCTTTATTCGAATGTCTTGCGAGTTGTCTCGCCCGACGTCTTTTGATATAACTAAGACCAGGCGATGTCCTTTCAGAATCGTTATTTTCAACATGGATTCAACGTTGACTCGATGTTGACATCAACATTGATCCCATACTGAAGTGTCATTTTAATTAACCCATGAGCAAGATACAGTGTTTTCACATGAGGCTGTCTTTTCTTCAGACAACTTCTTCCGATGCGTGGCAAAGGAGTTTACCGTACACAGGTATTGATATTAAGCAACTAACAAAAATTAAAACAAATTCAAATGATGAACATTGTATATGATGACCACATACCATCAGCACGTTCCAAAATCTACTTCTGCATCAATAATAAGGGAAACAGAAATGAATGAATCAACCAGTTCCTTTTTTTTTCAAACTTCATCACTTCATAATACAAATTTATTTTTTCTTATTATGTGCTGTCTACGTTACTATTGGAAACTATTGGGAACTGTCACTTGGAGAACATCCACTTGTTATGTCTTTTCAAAGCCCATGATATCAAGCATAATAAAGGAGCCTTCTCACCTTTTCTGGAACCTCTTTTAAAAGAATTTGTAAGTTCTTGTGAATGAAGGAATATTAGGGGGAGGACTTCCTGTGAAAGCTGGTATGATGGCAGAGACTGGTGACAATCTATCATCTCACTATCTTGGTGGCTTTAACAGGAATTTCAGCCATGGCAGGATTAGCAGATGATGGCTGACCACTCTGCAATTAAACGGGAGGAGATGCTCGGGTTTAAGAAATACGGAGATTCATCAGTATCATCTCACGGCAGCACTGGGGAGTACCTCGCTAAGATTGGTGCATGGAGTACTCCGTGTAACACTTATGCGGACACTTTTAAACCTGTCGCGCCACTCGTACACTTGTTTCTTTGACAAGGCTCGATCACTGTACACCTCAATAAGCTGGCGATGAATATCTGAAGGTTTTCCTTTTTTGCTCCAGCAGGAAACGACCCAAGCAGCCAGTTTACGTCAATATGATATAATTTTGATGCAAATCAAATGTAAGACAGATATAAAATGGACAAAAGTCCATTTTATATCTGTCTTACGCAAACCTTCATCAATATATTGTCACCATGTTTGCAGAAGTGTCACCTCTGTGATATGCAAACAGTGATATAAAATTAACATAAATTTTACGTAAAACTGACATTCCCGTTTATGGAATATTTACGGAATATTTACATTAATTTTAGGCCTACGTAAAATTGATGTTTATTTTCCCCTAACATTCATGCAAATTTTCATGAGCAAATTTCTACTTTTGAATATCATCATACTTATTCCATTCCCTTGACAAGAATTTTACATGTAATTCACATTCCCGCTTATATCATGTTTATATCAATATTATGAAACATCTATATAGTTCATCTATTTCCAGTATACAAACCTAAAAAAAAAAATTATTTTGGCCCGAAATAAATCCTGCAGCATTTCCCGGACAGTACACTCTTCAGTGTGTGACCTTTGAGTAATAAGTACTCAAGGTTAGAAAACTTAAATTAGTCGCTGACTGGAATTAGTCGCTGGCATAGTGCCGCACATGTACTAAATTCCCTTTGTGCCTTCGAACAAGTTCTTGGAAATGGTCCGTACTGTTTCAGAATCACTGGTCTGTACTATCTGCTAACGCTAATAGCACATGAGCTAATCTGTGATGCAAGAGTATTGAATGTGCTAGGGAGACGAAATCAGCAAAGTCTTCTTGAGTCTCATGAAACCGTTCACAATGAACGATTGTGGAAATCAGCTGGACTATCATGATGATGGTGTTTAGGAACAGAATCTCCCTGTGTACTGTAAGCTATAAGTGTATACATGTAATGAAGCGGTTCACTTCCGAACGGGCAATGAGGTCAACAGAGGATTGTCAAGGAGACGTTATGATCACAATAGACGGTTCAAATTTCCACTATTAGACGGCCAGCGTAGCAGCCGCAGGCCGCTAGTCTTCATTTATTCGAAAGAACGACCCAATGGAGCCGACGAGGGCGAAAGTTCATCAAAGGTTGCGATTTTTTTCCTGTATTGCAGTCACATTAGTTCTGTAAATGGGAAAAAAAAAGTTTAATCTGTTAGAGACGGGAACCTGCAGTAAACAAAGGTGACACAGGGAACGCACACAGAAGAATTGTGGAATTTTCATTCCTAATAATGCCATTTTGAATGTGAGGAATTTCCATTGAATCTCGTTATGTCTATTGGCGAATTGTTTTGACTTTCGCCCTGCCTTTACATTATTGAAAGATACTGATTGTATGCAGCAAAACGAATTCCTCCGTCTTCTTCATGCAGTTCGTGCCCTCTACCACTATGCACTCGAAAACCCAACTATCAAATCGGCTAATGACATGAATCCCGAATGGGACCAGAACAGGGGCCACACAGCCGATTCGTTGATTGGAAGAAATCAGCTCTCGTATATGACAGAAGTCCAATAAAAATGTTTTCCGAAAATTCCCTCCAACTCCATATTTCTGCATTAAATTGTTAAAGTTGGACTGAATAAAGGATCCACTAAACATGCATCTCGCGACATGAGATTGCTTTTTTTTTTCTTAAAACATGGCATCACTTGCTCCTCAACATTTGCTTCGTGTACCTCCCTTTGAACATAGGTGTTAGGTCTCATACCATTTCTTCGTACCACTGGGTAGAAATTAATAGCGATGGATGCCAGGGCCTTCATGGTGTGTTCTCAATCTTCGACTCAATCCATGAAATGAACCTTACGAGAGAGAATATCCGCAATGATCAATAACAGCAATAGGATGAAGCGGTACTGGAAAAAAAAGAGGAGAAGAGCTCTAGTCTCACCGATTGACTTTGGTGAAAACGGCATATTGGCCAGGGCGTCTCGCGGAGCATCTCTCTCTGGAAAAAGAGTGACTCACGATTCCTTCCACCTGCCAGCTGCTCTCAGAGTAAAACACCATTGGACTACCCGAATCCCCGGGACACACCGTCTTGTAATCTACGTAGGAAATACGAAAACATCGATGAATGTGTACCTCGTGAATCGAGAGCCTTGAGCACGAACGAAAATACATCCTGCTTTCCAGAGGTATCCTCGCCGTTCATGCCACCCATTAAAGGACGAGAATTACCAGTTGGGCAATTTTCGAAAATGCGACTTTATTACTTGACCTTGAAAGTACACTTGACATCATTTAGACACCATACAAGTTCCTCTTTCACATTCCATGGAGAAACCCTTTTTGATGTACCTTTCGAGCGATTGGTAGGAATCTTCAGACACTTAACAAAATCACATTGGGCGAATTGTAAATGGGACGAAAAACTTCGCCTAAAAAAACTAAACTCCCTTGAAACTCCTACAGGTTCCGCGACATTCATTGGTTAGTATTCATATTTTTATCCACTTGCTTCCGGTGTCGCTCAACTTCTAAGCATTGTTTATCTAATGGCGGACAGTGCATTTTAAATAGAATGACTTAAATACTCTGTACTCAAATTACGATTGTTTTTTAATTCCTTGGCGAATGAAAAGAAAGGAGAACAAATGGCTGAGATTGAAAAGCCACCTCAATAAAAATTCAATATGCAGCAACAGCTTCAACTGGAAATGGATAATCGGGTACCGAGAGCCTTGTAACCTATGTCCCCTGCATCCAAACGTTATCGAAATGAAATTCTTGCCTGAATTACTAGGTAATGACTTTAATGACTCGTTACAAGAGTTGTTCCTTTGCCATTTAAATAGTTTTTTTTTTATCTACTTCAGATAGCGTAGGTCTGCTTGAACTAGATGTGCTGAAAGGAACGAGGACCATTCTTGCTTGGAGAGGGTGTAATTGTCCTCTGCAAGCAAGAAAGGCAATTCTTTCGAATGACTATATTGTGCATCTATATCGATCGCTATATTCTGTATCTTTGCTTTATGGAAACGAACACTAGCAATAAATCCGTTTCCTCTTCGCGAATAGTTCAAATTAAAAGCCACTCCTAGGAGACATTTTTGTTATTTTAGCCCAATAGGCAGCCACCGCTACACTACATTGTGAAAGCTTAATCCGGCACAATGCCGACATGGACTCAACTTTTGCCGGACATGCGTGCTCAACATAACACATACTTCCTACCAACGTTTCACCAACATCTGCAGGTCACATAAGCTTACAATTTCACACTCTCTCTTCGCCTCTCTAAACTGGCCTAATAATAATAATAATAATAACTAACNACTGGCCATATCTTGGCAACACCATTCGTTCTAAATCACATGCCCACTATCCTCCAAGGTTCGACCAACTTTGCCATCCCACCTTCACATTCAGGCAACATTGCCGACTTCCAGGCAATTGATGATCAATTTTCCCTGCGATTTAGGATGTCTGTCAAGCGAAAGCCTCGAAATAAATATTATTTCCATGTTTAATTTTTTAACAAAGCTTTATCTAAATTTACAACTTTTCAACGTGCATAAATGCATGGCATGATTTCCGAGCGTGTATTCGTTTTTTGAATGGATGCTGTTTAATTTGGGGGGCATCATCATGTAAATATTAGGAAGCCAACGATTCAGATAGTCCCTATTTCTTAAGTCCTACTTTTGACAATATTTTCCAAGCTAATGCGGACACGGAATCAGGATGAGCAACAATAAATCATCACTTCCTTAGTAGAATCACGTTCTTGGAAAAGTAAAAGAATGAAACCCCCCAAAAAAATTTTCGCTTCAAGTCGCCATAATTGAAATGCAACCCAAGAACATGTATCATTATGATTATAAAGCAATTAAGATGGGAGGTTGTGGATTTAAAGAGTTTAATCGAGAATGCCAAAAATATCGAAGTTTGACAGGGTCATCTCGAGAAATATTGCAATAAAATTGCAATGAAGCAAACAATTACAATGAAAACGTTTCACCGCATCCATTACCTTCAAGAGGAGTTTCTATGCCGTAGCCGGCACAGAACATGTTGGACGTTAGGATCCCAGTACTCGCAAGGTCTCCTGTTGTATAAATGGTGTCCTGAATGCATTTGGAATTGGATATGACAGGAATATTCACGTCCGCGAGGGCGTGACTCGGCGTATCAGAATCATCAACACCCCATCCAGCCACCTGGTAAAAAACTACACGATCGACAAGAAGTCACGAGGGAGAGGAGAGTGCGCTAGAGGAACTCCATGTCTCACCCATCCAAACTTTCCATCGTTGGGATTCTCTTCTGACGGATGAAACTGATTCGGGAGACATGCCAACTGCACTCGCCAGGTCAATATTGCCGGCTCTGTCAGTCTCACCAAGGCGATGTCCGAGTCTAAGTTCCGTAAGTTCAGGTCTTCGTGCAGGATGATCCTAGACATCTGAGAACATACCGTGTCAATTGTTAGCATATCGCACTGAAACATGCTGGTGTGATAGAATTCGCGAGAACTCATCGATGACCTGTCTTCGTTGTACGAATCCATCATCCAGGGAATGATTTCGATAGTATTTTCCTAGATAAACGATGAATTCATTCGGTCTCCGAGATATTCGGGACCCCTTCACGTTCAGACAACTAGCTGTCGTGAGAAGCCAATTCTCCCGAATGAGTGCCGCCCCACAAATGATTTCTTCCCTCGAGACATCATAAATCGCAGCCTGCCATGGCCACTCTCCAATATACGAGGAACTGCCCCCTGCCGACCTTCCCTGCCGTGCCGGTTCCACCCTCTGCCCGCATTCTGGATTCAGAGCAAATATAAAACATTCCTGAAACGCTCAGTCTGAAACGCAACAGAAGGCCAAGTCGCCCCAAAACATCGATGTCGCAACTAACCAGACTCACAAGGAAGACTCTGTCCTGTCCACTGCCCATTTTTCATGCAAGTACGAGTATGTGTTCCCTTGAGAAAATAATATTGACTGCAGGTGTACCTCACAACGCTTCCAGTCGCATATTTCCCATTTTCAACGCATTGCGTCTTGTTTTCGTCCCCGACCTCTCCAATGAGACTGCTAACATCGATTCACCAAAAGGTTTTTCATGAAAATCCCGGTTTTGAAGTCAATTCGAGTTGTCAATGGTTGCAAGCGTGAATGAGGAGAAACATTTACACTAATCATCACTATGGGGATTGCAGATCCTTACCTCTCGGGAACATCGGGGCAAGATAATATTCTGAATTGACCATTTTGAATGCCTGGATATTCTTTGCATCCTTCCTCGTCGCCGGCTGAAAATATACAGATCGCAAGGGCTTACGATAATTTTTCTCATCTTACTTCTTAGCACACGAAAAATGAGAAAAGCAGTGAACCTCTTCCATGCATCACGAGGCTTTCCCCACCCCCCTAGGTGGCAAACAAATAAGTATAGGATAAATCAGATTTAATGACTAACATTTCAAAACGCTGTAACTCCGTAATTTTTTTATTATCTACCAGAAATTGAACTTGCACAGATATGACCTAAGAGCAGGAAGAGAATGAATGCCTCCGCATAAGTGCCGCACGTCGTCCAACTGTGTTCACCAGATCATGATCCACCTGGTCACCAACAGCATTCAAACACGCCTGGAGACTGTCCAACACCTGCCTGTATCGGTATATCTCTCCTGGTGTGACATTCCCCCCTTTTGATTAAGTACTCCAGAACGTGGATCTGAAGGGAATAAACCTTGCCATTGTGGTACTTCCTGAAATTAGTCGGAGCTAGGTCTAGCGATCTAGCTCTAGATCTGCTGGTGCTGTGGTGATATTCAAGCGGCAACGTCCCAAAGTTTTCTGGATTTGTAGATTCTCTTCGCCTTTGATAATTTCCTGCATGCTGTATTATGGGTTGACCGAGAAGGCCAGTGCTAACGTCTTCCTACTTAATGGTTTAAGCCAGAAATAATTATAAAAAAGGACATGGGATTTCTGAGATTCAGTTGTTCTCATGAGGAAGCCATGTGATCCAATGGCCACCTCATTTCTTACTTCCTGCAACAGCAAAAATCGCTTGAATGGAGCAGCAGGAAATTATGCAAGACTACGTCATTTAACTACAACGCAATCCTCCCATTCCAACAAGATGTGAAACAGCTTGTCAAACTCTGGGTAATAATAAAGCGAAATTCAGATATGGACAGAGCTGAATCTGTGATTCAGGACATCCGAATACACAGGGTATCCGAATACACTCCAATCACAGAATAGCTTCATCTAAACATACTTTTGTTGGAGAGCAGCTCCATTTTCCTTTTCTCCACGGCCGTCTTCGAAGCACAGCAAAGACGGTCTCCAGAGCACCAAAAAAGATCCGTCAATTCCCATTCATTTTCAGCCCGGCAGTATGAGTGCCGACTACTCAAGCAGAATCCGATCGTTGGGCTGCACGGGGTGCGCTCTGTTTTCGGGTCGGGATTGGATGGTGGTGAGGGTCCTGATGCTCTTTCTCTTGATTCGGTCTCCACCTGACAGCAATATTGTCCCGTCTGCCTGCATTCTGTTTCGAACTTGACTGTCCCCGGCACACAGGAATGTACGTTTGTCAGCGAGACACATTCGTGATTGCAAGGGGAGAAAGAGGGAGGGATCTGAGAGTCCGTCTTCAAGATGCAACATGATCGATTTAATGCGCATACCGCGTTCGAAATCTGAGTTCCCGGTTCGCAAAGTCCTCCCGCGGAATGATGAATACAAGAATGGGTGAGCGGGCACGATTTCTCCTGGATCCGACAGCAGGCTTGCGTCGCCGAAGGACAGGCGAACGACGAGTTGCACCGATGCGCTGAGGTCACCGACTCCACGTCTTTGCATGAAAAGCCGAAGGGACACTCAGCTTTCGATGGACCTGTCGTCCTTGTCGTCGCAGTGCTTTCTTGTGTGATTAGATGGCAACACACCTCATTAGATCGACAGTCATCCACTTTCGATAGAATTGCTGTCCCTGGTGTGCAGAGGGACATGAATTTGCGACTGACGCACCAATAAGGACAAGGTCGAGGACAGTTTTTCATGGAATCCGACTCCAAGTCTTTCAACTCCGTTCCACTCGAGCAGCCTCCATCGATGCTCCTCAGGAACGTCCGATCGGCCACCAACCACGCAACGTCGCAATCGCAACCGAATAATTTCCCTGGAATGCCGGAAGGCGGAAGAGCGGAATATGCAAGGCCGAAAAAAAGAATCGAATTTGTGAGCTCGTATGAAATAAAAGCATGAAACTCACTCCCGAGTATAAGAACCCCATCTCCCTGCGTAAGAACCTCCAGCATGGGGCGGAAGCTGTCCTCGGACAAGGCCAAATTCTCCATGCCTCGTAGGTAAACACTCGTATTAGGTTGCAGCCCTGAAACGAGAGAGACGAAAGTATTTCATCCATTCACTCGAAGCATTGAAACTTCATTTGAGTTTGATTTTTACTGGTTATCGATCGTCGATAATTCGATAAAAGAAATCATTGGAATATCATAATTTTTATCTAATAAACCCTCGCTTCCCCACCCCGACCTTTCCTTGTGAATTTGGAAAAATCGATAGGAATGAAACGATGGATATATTTGATATGGGACACAAGTCAGCCAAGTAAATCACCAACAAATAAAGAATCCTTTCTTGGATTTTAAATTGAATTCATTGGTCATTGCGTAGCTGCATTCGAACAAATTTTCCCATCGTCACCTTCACTGACTGAATCGAAAATGTTGGCATACGAAGCTAATAATAACGGATACGAAGTCACATTGCAATCCCGCCAGGATTAATTTATTTCTTAATCCTGGCACACCTCCGCAACATCGAATCGCATGAGCCGGTAGCATCGACCGAACCCGGCAAACCCGATCCCCAACTGCTCTTGTCTTTTATACTCGTAAGCCGTTTGAATGGGAGACGTCACTGGGAAGCTGAGAGAGGGAGGGAATATATTCTCCGGCATTAATCCAAGAAGTCTCAATTCCCCCTAACTAAACGGTGTTCGTTTTAGGGAACCTGCGCTTGAAATTCCCCTGGGGATTCCTTGGGATTCTCGTAAAAATCCAATTGGCGCTCCGCAGAATTGCATCGGCGTCCAATCGAATCCCTATGGGAATTTTCTAAAGGGATTTTCCTCATTTCCGATCCACTCGACGGCGTGCCTCTTAGGCGCTTTCGATCTAGTGAATGGAGAATCGTCATGAAACTAAGGAATATCAGCGTTTGTAACCACTTGGCGACATTGCATACAAGGTAGTGAGGGAGCAATTTCACGGCAACGTGAGACTGCGAGGCGTCACCCGTCACAGTGGCTGACACTCCCTGTCACACACTTCATTGATGCTCGAATTATGGCTGTGGGCATGGGGAGGAGGGGGGGGGGGGAAATTCGCCGAAATTCTATATTGTACTGTGTTTCTTCATAGATGTGAGGAAGCGAGACATTGGACATGGCAAAGGGAACCAATGAAACCTGCACTGCAAGAGAGGAAAAACATTCCAAGAGAAGTGAGTATAAATTACATCAGGAAAACTTTTAAGCCGTCAGCAAAATGAAAATGCGACAATGAGAAAATAAGAAATTTTCGTGTCTCACGGATCCGCAAAACCGCAAAGTTACAGCTCACGATGTTTCCCTGTTATCACGACCTTTGAGAAGAGTTCTGCAAAACTCGGAGACTCGGTGAAGATCTTTGCTCGCAGATTCAATCCCGAAGGAAAAGAAGCGAATATACGTTCGGACATGGAAGAGGGATCGTACCTGTGATAGCTCCTGGTTCCAGTCTCGAGATATTGTTTCCATCGAGATGCACCACCCTCAAGGCCCTGCTGCGGAAATCCAGCAGCCCTCTGGAAAGGGTCGAACCCAGATTGCATTCGCTGCACGAGAATTCTTCCAGTTTCTCCAGGCCATTCAGGATTCCCGAAGGGAATCTCGACAGGGGATTCTTGCCTGTATCAGACGCGGTAATTACACTCTTCCGATTAGAATGAGTCAGTTCCTCTTATCATTCGACTGAACTCTTAACATCGAAAAAAAAGAGGCACGTCCAATTTCCACTGGTTTAAATTGATATGGGAAATGTTTGTTACAACAGGAAGCAGATGTCTCTTGAAATGATCTGAAAGACTGTTGTGTAATGCATTCCAGGATAAAGCAAGGTAACGTTAAAGATACATGTCTCTGTTAATTCTTTAACGATTTCGTCTTGTGATACCAAAGAATGGAGTTCATCAGAAACTTCGTAGGTGTATATCGCAACTGTACACTTACCGATATCTAATACTTTCAAGTTGGGAGTGGCCCATCCGGTTTCCTCCACTTTCAATATATGATTATTTAAAAGATTAAGTTCCTGGAGGCTTTGACTTTGAAGGGGCGGGACCGAGGTCAATAAATTGTGCGAGAGATGGAGAATCTGGAGACGTGGCATTCGCGGAAGAAGCTCGAAGGGAAACTCCTCGAGGCTGCTGTGCACGATGGCCAGGTGGGCGAGTCGGTCCCGGGAGGGCAGGAGGGCCGAGGGAGCGATCGTCTCGAGGTTGGTGAGGGTCAGATACATCGAAGCGAAAGAGATGTTTCCGAATGCCCCGTCGGGAAGATCCTTCAACTTGGTGTTGAGGGACAGGAAGAATAGCCTGCAAGGAGAGGGAAGAGAAATGGGGCATGCCACGCTGATACATTGACATTGACTAAGGCAACCTGGTGCAGCTATAAAGGCATTATACCTCAGGTACTCCAAATTTCAGGAGGTTCATGGGACAACCAACGAGGATTTGACTGTAAAAAAAAGTCAAACCCTGAGTGTTTACCCTCCCAAGATGGAGTGACAGCATCACAATATTATATTTTTTGTGCAAAACCCCAAATAAACTTGAAAATTGTCCGTTCTTATTGTGGTGATTTCCCGCTCAAGACATGCCCAAATTTTTTGCTGGGATGCCTCACATGTCATTGTTTTCCGTCATAAGTGTTGCTGCAGCGTCTTCGATTTTGTTAAAGAAAAAATAAAAGCTGGAAGTTTGGTGCCTCCCAAAAGGCAGCAATGTAAGCTGAAAATCCTCTCAACAATGTCTGCTGAAATATCGATCATTTACACGAAAAAGAGGAACATTTGTTTTCAAGATCCGTCAATCTTGGCAATCTCAGATAGGTTCTACTCAGTCTCACGACACATTTTTCTTTAAAATATGTTCACATACGTCACATTCTTTTGATTACATTGACAGTGAGCATATTTGTAAGTTGTCTGCAACTCCCCAATTTTTCCTTGAAAATAAAAAGTACTATTTTTTTCGATGAAAGGATTCGACATTCATGAGCAGCAAAGTCCCAGTTTGTTCTAGTGCATAAAATAGAAACCTATCAGAAAAAGTTTTCCAGGGAAGCTGATGAAAGAGAAACAGTTTCATTTCTTCGACTTGTCACCAATACGATAGAGAGGTGATGGGGACCTGACGATTCGAGTTTTTCAAGTATGTGGAATGGAATGGTATTTTGTGTCATTGCATTTCAGTACCCGTCTTTCATTTGCATTTTTAATGTATCCTTTTGGATTCTTGGTATTCTCAGAATATTAATATATAATCCCAATATTAATTCCGCAACTACTCCGAAACCGTTTTACTGCATTCTTGGGAGTCCAGCGGACCTACAGTAATCGAGTCGTAAAAGGGGTAAAATTAAATTTCTCGATGAGGCCTGGTCCAATCGTAGGTGCTACGGCTCCTATCGGTCATGTTTTCCTTTCCCTCGGCAGAGAGTCGATATTAAATTTGAAAAAAATGGTATTAGAGCCGCATAAGGAGGGCTAATTCACTTCGGAAGGCTGGAAAAACGCGGTGAATTGTCCGACCTATCCCCACAGCAAATCGGACCTTTCCCCGATTGACCAGCCCCAAAGTTTGATCTCCAGTGCAATTGAAATTCCTGTTCCCACCGAACGTAGAGTCAAACGAGCGTTGCAAATGAGTCCCTCAAATGAGAAGAGAGTTTAAAACGGAGATCCGAAACTCACTGGAGTCGACTGGAGGGCCAGGGCGCCTTATTGAAGACGGACCAGATCTCCCCACTCGTCGCGACGTCCGAGCAATCCACTGTCGCCTCGCCGTCTGAATTGCTGAAGCAGGTGCAGGGGCGTAGGTCCACTTCATTTGGACAGAGTTGGCGTCCTGTCGTCCAGGGAGTGAGTGAGAGGATGGAAACGCAGAGGAAGGTCCAGGATCCGGTTTTCATGGTCGATTTCACGGGCTACAGCCCCATATAAAAAAGAGATGGAATTAGTGTAGCTAAAACGTTTTTCAAAGTAGCAACCCCAAAATGGATCGACATATTTATGGGCAGAGATATACATATCCTCGTTCGCTATCGGGGAGCGAGTATCACTGTGCCAGATTTAATTTGACAGATTTGTTCATCGTAAGACTTTATCTGACGCCAAGGAACATGATAGGAGCGCTAGGAAATATTTGAAAGTGATGTCGTTTCTGATGGGACAATTTAAAATAATTCTAAAAAGGAACACAAACATGATAGATTTGAGCAGGAAAGGAACACACAAACCCAGGTAAGTGATTTGGATCGACAACAAAACCGGTTCGGTTTTATGCGACTGGAAAACGAATGCGAATCTTCACGTCGTATCCTGAGCATAGGCACTCATCACCGCATCGCACTGATTTCAGGCCGGATTAAGGGAAAGCAGATGCACTCTTAAGGAGATGTTCACATTTCGCGACTGAAAAAGGAGAATAATCTCGTGGAAGGGAAAAGTACCTTTCGAGAGAGAGGGAGAGAAAAGCACTCGGAGGGACTCGGTCCCGAGACCTTCTCGATTCTTCCTCCTTCGTCTGTTCACGGTCGAAGAGCGTTTCCATTGGAAGCTCGTGCTCGAGGAAGGGAAGCCGCGAGGTGGGCGTTCAAGGACAAGGTCGTTCCCATTCATTGTGAGGTCCGGCGCATGCTTTCATGCGTCGAGGCTTTAGAAAAGGGGTATTCTCATAAATCACTTGGTGCGATGGAGATTTTTCCTCCAATCTTGTCACTCTCAACGGCACGGATGTCAAAACAGTCTCTGGGCTGACGGTTGGATATTTAACATTCATTAAGTGCCAATTGCCTCATTTCTTTACCAATAGAGACCATTGTGTTCTTCGTGGATTCTATTCCTTTGAAATTTGAGCTGAGTCATATACCTCGTACATGCCTGAATGAAAGAAAGGGAAATCTCTCGTGGCCCCGAACACTTGGACGACGCCCCCCCCCCACTTAGTTTCCATGAATGCTATAGAAGTTGCCGAAGGTAAGAAAAGCCTGAAATCGAACATCCCTGGGATGACGGCACCGACGCGTCGTAAAACCGCCCCCTCACTCCATCGCCTGGTGTTTAATGGTCCTCTCGTCACTCCTCCTCTCCTCGTTGGCGTACTCTCTTCCTTTCTCCTTTTCCGATCCGTCTCGCCTCTTCCCAGTCCACATCTTTTGAGCGGGAAATCAGTGGTTTCCGTTTGACACGTACATAAGCCATAGCTGAAGCATCGCCGGCAGATGGTCGACTTGCAGATGGCAGAAGCCGTCCCGTGGCCGGGCAAGTTCGGTTGGACCTTCATCGGTTCAACTATAAAGCAGCTGGAAAGCCAGCCCATGCCCCGCAATGAGCCACGGACTTTCCACTTCGTTCCTTCATCACTTCATCCGCTTCATTAGAAAATTAGATTATTGGCAGCAAGTAAGAGATTAATTCCCGTTCTCTGGGAAAAGGGCGTATGTGCAAATGATTCATTTCGAGAAAATGGCAAAAACTTCCCCCAACTAACTAATCTGCAGCTGGACAAAACTGAGTTTTCAGTCAAATGGAATCTTTTTCCAACCGAACTTGGGGTTTTAACGAAATTTTTTCAATCTCACATTGCTATGTTGCAGGCAGAAAGTCTTAATGCACATACTCCCTTTTTCCATATCCGCGTTGCTGGGACTTATTTCAACCAGTCTTTCACCACTTCTTTCCAGTTAAATGTCATCATTTACCACGAAATAACATCTGCAGCTTTCAAATAAACTCTCCCTCGAAGAATGGGAATAAGAGGGTGAATATTCTGAATAAGTTTCATTCACAAATTACTCATCGGTAATCCATTAATAATGTATTCATCATCTGAATTTCTAACTGTTTCATGGATTTCGCCAATCTCTCCCATCCTTCCAGAGTCTTGGATTTTATTTCCCTTATCTTTCTATCTGGCTTCTTCCTCATTCTCACTTTCAGTTCGAAAGAATTGAATTATTCCACCAAAATCTTTCAGCAATACAGGTGGCAATAGAATATTCATGGAGGCAGTCATATTGAAATTGTCAGGAAGTTGGCCTGCTACGTATTGAAGGCATAGGAAAATCTGCTTCTCCTTCACTGAATAACACACTTTAACTCCCTGCTTTATTAATTAACCCTGTCCTATGACAAGTCACTCCAATCGCCCTTTTTCCAGAGAACTCCTCATATGCCTGTACCTCTCTCGGGGTATTCGAGACATCTCGGTGAGGACGTATAACGTCTGGCGTATTAGGGGATTCTTTCACCATCTCGACTCGGATATTCGTGGAAAGACTGCCTCCAAAATTCAAATGCATGTTGGACACCATCCTCTTTATTCAGAGTTGTTCATGCAATACATGCCCAAATCCCGCTACATCCCTCCACCATCGCCCATCACTGTCTCAATCTCGCCTCATCCCATGAACAACGCACAAAAATAAGTCGGTCTTTTGCATTTGCAAAGTGTCACCGTGAGACCTCGAGAAGCCTCGAACCTGCGAAATGGAATTTATAGGAGTGACGAAAACTGGAATTTCATGATGCGGGGAGCCCTCACCTTGCAATCCCGTTTCTTGCTTGTCCTTATTTTATTCGAGAGCATTCGGCATCTATATACATAACGACTAGCTGATGTCCGTATGACCGGATTTTGTCCGGTGAACCTCTCCTAGGTTTCTCAACCGATTTCCACCGTCGATACCTCATTCGATTTGCGATCTTCTGCAAATGGTCCAATTCATTTAAGATTTTTTTCTGAGTTGACCTTTGATCTGACCAGGATGACCTTTCATATTAATTTTGAACCCAAATTCCTGCGTGATATATCATTCGAAAGGGCTGAAATTCCTCTGTTAGAATTCGTTTCTATCTCGCAAAACTGTTGACATTAGATCCTGCTGTGGTCAATCTGAGTTGAGAGAGCACTGGCGCCATCTCTGTACAGTCTAGATAACTGCAACCGTACGACACCAGTTTTCCACGCCTCACTTCTCGCCAAAGCTGACTTCTTAGTTGTACTCAGAAGTATGCGTCGTTCTCATTACCCTTAGGAATATTATAATATTGGCTATCGGCATTAGCACACGTTTTATTTAGATTTTTGCTTACTTTTTCTCTAAGTGAGGGTCATACTATCAAGTCATCCCATAAGTAATGCGGTTTTTTCGCATTGCCAAATTTGTGTCTTGTTTATACGTGTATCTCTGTACATCTCATGCAATATTTATGTGTTAACTTGTGTAGACGTTAGTCTTCAGTCTACATGTAGGTTTTAACGAGTTAACAGCGCTCCGTTTTTCTTAGACTTTAAAAACAAGATGGAGGGGTCAGAGGAACACATTCGGCACATAATGCATTATGAATTTAAGAAAGGGAATAACGCGACTGCAGCCACGCAAAACATGCAAAAAGTTTCTGGCGAGGAGGCTCTAAATGCGAGGAAATACCAACGGTGGTTCCAGAAATTCAGATCTGATGACTACAGCTTATCCGATGAAGCGCGTTCAGGCCGAACTGCTGAGTTCGACGATGACCTGCTGATAGCCACACTTGAAGAATATCCTGCTAATGAGTTTATTATTTAAAAAAAAACGGGGCTTGAAATTCACGAGAATACCGTGAAGCGCATATGTTTGCCCGACCTCTAAGATTGTATGGTGACAACACATGTGGAACCCACTTTCCAAGTTTTGACACTTTTCCCAGCCGTTGTTTCCCGTCGTTTCCTGTCTGGACGTTTCCCAGCGGCAATGAACGGAGAAATGGGTCGAATTGAGTTTCTTTGGTGACAACACATGTGGAACCCACTTTCCAAGTTTTGACACTTTTCCCAGCCGTTGTTTCCCGTCGTTTCCTGTCTGGACGTTTCCCAGCGGCAATGAACGGAGAAATGGGTCGAATTGAGTTTCTGGGCAAGGTCTTCAACTGTTACAGCAGGATATTCTTCAAGTGTGGCTATCATCATCGATCTCAGCAGGTAGGCCTGAACGCGCTTCATCGGTTAAGCTGTAGTTATTAGATCTGACTTTCTGAAACCACCGTTGGCATTTCCTCGCATTTAGAGTTTCCTCGCCAAAAACATGTGGAATGTTTTTCGTGGCTGCAGTCCCGTTATTCCCTTTCTTAAATTCATAATGCATTATATGCCGAATGTGTTCCTCTTGTTTTTAAAGTCTAAGAAAAACGGAGCTCTGTTAACTCGTTAAAACCTACACGTAGACTGAAGACTAACGTCTACATAAGTTAACGCAGAAATATTCCCTGAGGTGTACAGAGATACACGTATAAACAAGACACAATTTGACTATGCGAAAAAATCGCATTATTACTCTCATTATTGCTTCGAAATGGAGTTATCCACATCATCTCGACGGAAAATAAGTTCTAGCAATCGGCGCGAGATAATCGACAACTTAGCGATGCTAACTCCGATGGCTGAAAAGTATACTTCCCTGGGGGTTTTCGTACAGTACGCGATCTGTTCCCACGTACAACTTGAGAGAAAGCTTTGGAGTGCCTAGATAGACCCTTTGAAGGAGGAAATACGGCAGTAAGAGAATCCCGGTACTTCTGGCCAGAGGGTCCCGAAGTCACACGGCAATTTTGCCTGCCTCACTTCACAGCATTCCGTATGACTCAGGCTTTGATATCCCTTGGTATCTTTTCCGAGAACGACGGCACGTTAATTGGCCTACGAGGGTGTGTTTGACTTCCCTCCTGCATGGGCGATAAGAAAGAGGGGGTGACCCCAGGCACGTAACTCCCTTGCTGGACGGAATGAATTGCGTTGTTCAAGTACTAAACTCTAGTTCTGATGCAGTCAAGAAAGGTACAACCTCAGAATGACCCATCCGTGGAATAACAACACTCATTAGAGCACTTTCGAGCGCTAATCGGTGAAAGCTTTAAAAAGGAGAGTTAATACCCCTACCTTTCACAATTCACCTGCAGGACACTCGATCGTATCAACGTTGAACTGTGTTTTATTTCAGCCTTGCGGCAACGTCAAATCCATCTTTTACACATCGTTGTGCCAACATTGCTACGTTGAAAAATCAATCGTCTCTCAACTTGACCAGTCGTTTTTGGCTGAATGGGTAAGCTTACCAATAATAGGATATCGCGTCATAGGATATCGTTGTGAATGAAATTGCGTGTAAGTTGTGCATACTCGTGTCTGCCGCATGACGTTTTCGTTCTGTCCCTCTGGGTCTTCATGGGCATACGATATGTGTATCTTTTTTCAACTGAACATTCATGGTTTCTTTTTTCCTTGAGAAAATTCATTCCATCATCAATGCACAGAATTATCCACAGAGAAAGAATTGTATGATGCCTTCGCCCCGATGATCGTAGGAGAAAGCGAATTGCGCATGAGTCATACTAATGTCGACCCCTCTTAACTTCCGAGTACCGAGGCCGCACGTTCCTGCCTTCTCTGAGCAAATTAGATAGATTCCGAATACGATGAGCGGTGCAGAAGTTATTGGGCATGGGCTGGGTAAGGGAGCAGTTTGCCAAGTTCGTTCAACTGTGACTTGCTCCACTACTGATAAGTGGTGTTGCGAATGGCGTT